ATACCATTCTTTGAGGCAATATTTGTCCACATTTTTTATACATTTTTTCGGCCAATCAAAGTTTAAAAATTCATAACTTTGCCAAAAACGCTCCAATTTTAATTCAGAAGCGGTCCTGTATTGTTTACTATCAGGGTAATAAAACTGCATACTCGAAAATGACTCCTTCAAACGTAAAAATTTTCGGACTAAAATTCAAACCGTACTTTGAGTCAATATTTGTCCACATTTTTTTACTAAATTTTTTCGACCAATCAAAGTTTAAAAAATTCATAACTTTGCCAAAAACGCTCCAATTTTAATTCGGAAAGCGGTCCTGTGTTGTTTACTATCAGGGTAATAAAACTGTATACTCGAAAATGACTCCTTCACAACGTAAAAATTTTCGGACTAAATTACAATACCGTACTTTGAGTCAATATTTGTCCGCATTTTTTTACTACATTTTTTTCGGCCATCAAAGTTTAAAAAATTCATATTTAGCCAAAAATGCTCCAATTTTAATTCGGAAAGCGGTCCTGTGTTGTTTACTATCAGGGTAATAAAACTGCATACTCGAAAATGACTCCTTCACAACGTAAAAATTTTCGGACTAAAATTACAATACCATACTTTGAGTCAATATTTGTCCGCATTTTTTACTACATTTTTTTCGGCCAATCAAAGTTTAAAAAATTCATAACTTTGCCAAAAACGCTCCAATTTTAATTCGGAAAGCGTTCTAATGCTAGTTTTATCAGTTTATAAAAACTGCATACTCAATTTAACATTTAAGAGATTCGATTTTTTCCATTTTTGGCAATTTTAATGATGTAACCCCTTATAAAATTTTTAAATTTTCGGAGATTTGGAAAAAAAAATAGATTTTGGCCGGAGACGGCTCATCGACTCGGCTGATCGTGCTGATCAAGAATATATATGATTTATAGGGTCGGAAATGATTCCTTCATAGCGTAAAAGCTTCTGACTAAAATTAGAATACCATTCTTTGAGGCATTTTTTATACATTTTTTCGACCAATCAAAGTTTAAAAAATTCATAACTTAGCCAAAAATGCTCCAATTTTAATTCGGAAAGCGGTCCTGTGTTGTTTACTATCAGGGTAATAAAACTGCATACTCGAAAATGACTCCTTCACAACGTAAAAATTTTCGGACTAAATTACAATAGCATACTTTGAGTCAATATTTGTCCGCATTTTTTTACTACATTTTTTCGGCCAATCAAAGTTTAAAAATTCATAACTTTGCCAAAAATGCTCCAATTTTAATTCGGAAAGCGGTCCTGTGTGTTTACTATCAGGGTAATAAAACTGCATACTCGAAAATGACTCCTTCACAACGTAAAAATTTTCGGACTAAATTACAATAGCATACTTTGAGTCATATTTGTCCGCATTTTTTTACTACATTTTTTTCGGCCAATCAAAGTTTAAAAAATTCATAACTTTGCCAAAAACGCTCCAATTTAATTCGGAAAGCGTTCTAATGCTAGTTTTTATCAGTTTAAAAAAACTGCATACTCAATTTAACATTTAAGAGATTCGATTTTTTTCCAATTTTTGGCAATTTTAATGATGTAACCCCTTATAAAATTTTTAAAATTTTCGGAGATTTGGAAAAATAGATTTTGGCCGGAGACGGCTCAATCGACTCGGCTGATCGTGCTGATCAAGAATATGTATGATTTATAGGGTCGGAAATGATTCCTTCATAGCGTAAAAAGCTTCTGACTAAAATTAGAATACCATTCTTTGAGGCAATATTTATCTAAATTTTATAATTTTTTTCGAACATCAAAGTTTAAAAAATTCATAACTTTGCCAAAACGCTCCATTTTAATTCGGAAGCGTTCTAATGCTAGTTTTTATCAGTTTAAAAAACTGCATACTCAATTTAACATTTAAGAGATTCGATTTTTTCCAATTTTTGGCAATTTTAATGATGTAACCCCTTATAAATTTTAATTTTCGGAGATTGGAAAAAATAGATTTTGGCCGAGACGGCTCAATCGACTCGGCTGATCGTGCTGATCAAGATATATATGATTTATAGGGTCGGAATGATTCCTTCATAGCGTAAAAAGCTTCTGACTAAAATTAGAATACCATTCTTTGAGGCATTTTTATACATTTTTTTCGACCAATCAAGTTTAAAAATTCATAACTAGCCAAAAATGCTCCAATTTTAATTCGGAAAGCGGTCCTGTGTTGTTTACTATCAGGGTAATAAAACTGCATACTCGAAATGACTCCTTCACAACGTAAAAATTTTCGACTAAAATTACAATACCATACTTTGAGTCAATATTTGTCCACATTTTTTACTACATTTTTTTCGGCCAATCAAAGTTTAAAAAATTCATAACTTTGCCAAAAACGCTCCAATTTTAATTCGGAAAGCGGTCCTGTGTTGTTTACTATCAGGGTAATAAAACTGCATACTCGAAAATGACTCCTTCACAACGTAAAAATTTTCGGACTAAAATTACAATACCATACTTTGAGTCAATATTTGTCCCATTTTTTACTACATTTTTTTCGGCCAATCAAAGTTTAAAAATTCATAACTTTGCCAAAACGCTCCAATTTAATTCGGAAAGCGTTCTGAATGCTAGTTTTTATCAGTTTAAAAAAACTGCATACTCAATTTAACATTTAAAGAGATTCGATTTTTTTCCAATTTTTGGCCAATTTTAATGATGTAACCCCTTATAAAATTTTTAAATTTTCGGAGATTTGGAAAAAAAATAGATTTTGGCCGGAGACGGCTCATCGACTCGGCTGATCGTGCTGATCAAGAATATATATGATTTATAGGGTCGGAAATAATTCCTTCATAGCGTAAAAAGCTTCTGACTAAAATTAGAATACCATTCTTTGAGGCAATATTTACCTACATTTTTATACATTTTTTTCGACCAATCAAAGTTTAAAAAATTCATAACTTTGCCAACGCTCCAATTTTAATTCAGAAAGCGGTCCTGCGTTGTTACTTCAGGGTAAAATGCTCGAAATAACTCTTCCCGTAAATTTTCGACTAATTACAATACCATATTTGAGTCATATTGTCCACATTTTTTTCTACATTTTTCGACATTAGTTTATAATCTGCTAGCCAAAAGCTCACTTTTAATTAGGAAAGCGTTCTAATGTAGTTTTTATCAGTTTAAAAAAACTGCATACTCAATTTAAATTTAAGAGATTCGATTTTTTTTTGCAATGTGGTGGTTTCCCGAAGTTTCCTTTCTTGTTTTTTTATTATTAATTTTCCTTTTAAAGAACCAACTAATCGGGGGTTTTAAAGACAAGAAAACATCTACAGCTCGGCTAGCCCAAGCTCCGTTCACAATTTGAGCCATTTTGCTGGCCGGCTGCCTCTCAGCTTTAGCGGTTTATGGCCAAGGCCCTAAACGCACTTGCCACTTATCAAGGTCCTTTCGCCCAGGCTGCGTCCAATGTACGCAAGTCATTAGGCTGATGGGTCCAGCACTGGAAGCAGGGAAGCAGGGAAGCTGGGAAGCTGGAGCTGGGAATCCCCTCGCCCAACCACCGCATTATGCATTAATGTAGTTAGCACTCGACCTCACCTGGGCAGGAGGCAGCCGGGTGGGTGGATTGTGCCCCGGTTGCTGGAGGGCAAGGTGTGGAGCAACCTGAGCCCGGTCCTCTGGGTGCGAACAATTTCACGCATCCATTGCTTGCCGACAACATTTGCTTTTCATCACTTTGTTTGGTGTGCATTTTGCGGGCCGCATAATGAATCCAATGGCGTTGATAATAATCTACGGGCCCTTCTGTGTGTTTGTGTGTGTTTTTATGACTTTTTTGCCTTGTCGAAAATCGGTGGCAACAAAAACAAATATGTTTTTGTTTGTTTTATAACAAACAGAGAGCAGAGGCAGAGGAGGAAGAGCAACCAAAACATTGCAGAGTTTGAGTGCTTTTATGTTGTTTGCCAGGACAAAGTACTTCATCCTGTCCCCAGCTATATATATAGAAATATATATATACGAGTTGGCTTTAATTAGCCACCAGCAGTTGGGCCCAATAATGGATTCGAATGCTTATTGAACTAAAATTAAATAGATTTATTATTCAATAAATTGAAACGCTTATGCTTAGAATATGATGCTCATCAAAGTGCTTGTTTTTGCCGCTTGACTTTTGGAGTAGTGTAGAAGGTGTGTGTGTGTGGGGTGTGTGTGTTGTGTGTGTGCCGAAAGCGCAATTTAATTTTTACGACAGATACATTTATGCTTATTACTTGTGTGTTTCTGCGGTTGCTCTACGTCTAAAATATGTCTACGATGTGGTCATAATGGTTATATATGCGTGCGCGATGATGTGTGAATGTGTGCTCTTATGATTACATTTCAGATTATATATATTTCTATATATATTTATAAGTATATGCTAAATATTGATTGATATGTACAGAAGGGACTGGGGGGCTAACACAAGAAATGCTAGGATAGCTTCTGGGGACTTCTCGACGACAAAAAAACAGATTTCAAGCTAAAACAAAACGGAGGATTTTCGGGGTCAAGTCTAACCTAGTTTTATATATTCATATATATTTATATATATCATATAATAATAAATCATTTATATATAGTACGTGTATCGGTACTACCCAAGGTGATGATGCACTCGCTTATGTAGGTAATGGCTATCGATAAATACACGCTCGCTGGCTTGTCTTTTATGTAAATGTGGAAATGGAGCACACAAGTGCATCCTATATATCCCATATATATCCTATATAATAGGTGGGTATATCTGTATGATCTTCTGCTGGCGGCGGCGGTAGGCATTCAACTGCTACTTGGATGTTGGATTTCGGCCTAATGCGCTTTCCTTGTCTTCTTGTCGGGGCCTTGGCGAAGCATCCTTCACCTCCTCCATATCCTTCACATCCTCCGCATCCTGTTTAGCCTGCGTGTGTGTATGTACATTATGGTTCGGCATCTATGTGTGCTTGTTGTGTGTTTGAGTTGAACTTCTTTTGTTTTTTCTGAAAATATAACTTTGGTATTCCTCTTGCTCCTTGCCGGTGCTGCTTTTATCCTCTCCTCCAGCCTATCGCCTCTCTAGCTGACCACCGCGTCCTTGAGCAGGGGCATTGCCACGCCAGCACCACCCACTGTCGAATTGTTGGCTCCACCTGCTCCTCCTCCATTCACAATGGCCGCCGCTGTGGACTCCATATCCTGGTCATCGTCATGCTCGTTCTCTACCTCCTGCTTAATAGGGGATCGATGGGCTTCATCTTCCTCTTCAGCGGCTTTCCTCTGCTCCTGCTCTTCCTCATCATCGTGCTCCTGCTCCTCCTCCTCCTCTTGGTTGAGGTGGACTTCAGCCTCGTGACAAGGTGAGCTGGTCCTTGTCACACTCTGGTTAGAGTGAGCCACATTGGCCACCAGGACACCCGAGTACTTGACGCCATTCAGCTCCAAATTGACCATTAGCTGCTGTTCACCATTCTCACCGGTGCCTGTAAAGGATTAGATTAGTATGTGCTTAGATACTCCTTCTAGCTATCAAAACTCACCATTTCTGGCCACCTGGAACTGCATGCCGGAGAGCAGGCTCAGCGTTTCCAAAGGATTCAGCTTGCCACTGGCCAAGCTCTTATCCCCGCCACCTAAATCCTTATCCTGTGGCTTGGATCCGCAGCCGCCCTTCTTCTTGGTGGACACTGGCGAACTGTGGCGATGACCCACCGAAGCGGTGGTGGTGGATGTGCTGGCGAGTTCTCAATGGCGGAATCATCGGATTTGTCCAGCTGATGGCTCTGGTGGTGATGATGATGATGGTGGTGATGGTGGTGTCCATTTATTGGCTGCGCTGTCTCGCTGTCATCGTGCAGCGAGGACGAATTGCCGGTGGTATTGTGCTCCCCATGGCCGTACTCATCCTCCGGCTCGCCCTCGGAGGCGGCATCCTGGTGCTGCTGCTGCTGTTGATGATGATGGCCGGCCGCCACCGCTGCTGCCTGCTGATGATGGAATCCTGCCGCTGCAGCCACTGCGGCCATGTTGTGGGGATTCAGGTAAAGTTGGCAGGGAAGCCGGGTGGCAGGAGGCCGCTGCCCATGCGCTTGGCCGGCGGTGGCTGGTGGCCGGTGGAGAGGTCATCCTGCTCCACAGGCTCTGGCGTCGGCTCCCGTTCGCGTTCCCTTTTGATGTTCGTGAGATTCGGCGGTGAGTCGGAGAGGTTCAGAGCTTCGCTGCAGTGGAGAGTGGAGAAAGAGCAATGGAAATGGTTTAGGTCTGGACTTGGTTGTTACTTTTTACGACAGAGGGCGCTTTTCTGGCTACCTTTGTAAACTAGGGGGCACTGGGTTGGCTTCTTTTTAACTAGATGGCGGCACTAGATCTTAATAAGTTGTTTGGTAATAAAAATTATAATTTAAATTAAAAGCTAATGATCAAATTACTAATAATTGAAATATTCAAAAAATGGGCAAAAAATTGAGGTTTTTAACTGAGTATGCAGATTTGTTAACCTAATAAAAAGTAGCATATAACTGCTTTCCAAATTAAAATTAATGCATTTTTAGCTTGGTTATGACTAATTTTATGATCAAATGAAGATAATATCAACTATTTTTCCTTTCTGGTTTCCTCTTAATATATATATACATACATCCCTAGCCCCACCGTATTTTGTTTAAAATGTTTGCATAATCTTAAATTAACATTTTTCCAGCTAATTAAAACTTACCGTTGCTGGGGGGAGGTGTGTGCGGAACCCGGTGGACTGTTGTTGTGATACATGTGCCACAGAGCCACCTGGGCGCTGAGCGCCTCGTGCTTGCTCAGATCGGGACTCTGCGAACGCTGACGCTGCTGCTGTTGCTGCTGCAGGTGATGCTGCTGCTGCTGCTGTTGCTGCTGCGACTGTGATTGCTGCTGCTGGTGTTGCTGCTGCTGAGCCTGCTGCTGCTGCTGCTGCTGATGCTGCTGATGGGGCAGGCTAGCACCCAGGCCCGGCGGCATGGCCTGCTCCTTCTTGGCCTGAATCAACTGCAAATATTCCATCATACGGCTTTCGATCTCCTGTTTGACCAGATTGGGCATCTGGCCAAAGGCCGGGGCTCCCATCAATCGGTGATGGGCAGCGGCGGCGGCAGCCGCAGCCTGAGCCTGCTGATTGTTGGCCACCGCGGCATGTGTGACCAAAGCCAGAGGGGACATTTGTTGCATGCCACCCGGTAGAGAGGGTCGCGAAATGGGGGTCTGTTGAAGGGAAATTGGTCAAAATTATTATATAAATAAGCAGAAATGGAATATAAGTAAAGGAAATATATAGATCCTTATTCTGCTTCCAAATCAACACTCACCAGCGGCATCTGATTGTGCATGGCCTCGTACTGGCCGTAGCTGGAGCGACGTCCTTCCGGCGATTGCCATCGATGGCCGCCTGCAGCTCCGCCGGTGTGCTGAGGTTCTTCTTCTCGCACTCGTACGGGTAGAGATACTTCATGTATCTGCAAGATGCATAAAATTATTAATAAGCGCGGCAAACATCAGCAGAGGAACTTCACGTTGATGTCCTGCTTAAGTTGAATTATCGTGTAAATACGAAAGCGACAGGCAAACAAATCACAATCCCACCAAGAGAGATGGAGAGAGCGAGTGCAGGGATCGCTGATCGATTGTTGCTTGATCGCTGCAATGTTTGATTGTTTGCCCGGCATCTCGGCATCCCAGCATCTCTGATGGTTTTGTGTTTGTCTTGGACATGGCAGGTATAACCAGGAAGGGACCTGGGACCTGGGACCTGGAACGGAGAGCTAGAGGAGTGAGAGATACTTACTGGGTGCGCAGGGTGAAGGCGGCACTGGTGATGCTCGATGGCAGATGCAGTCCCTTGATGATCTCCTGCCACAGCTTCTTGTTGATAACATCCACCAGACCGCCGCGGGCTATCACCAGATTGTATAGTTCGTACAGATCCAGCACCGATTTGGCCATGATCGGCAGCCGATTGATCGGTGTGCCTAAAAAATGCAAAGGGAAAATCGAGGAAAATCGAGAATTAGTAAATATAAAAATCAAGAAAAATCGGGCAAATGTACAATGCAACTTGTTCATCTTGCATTTGGCTCGTTAAATTCGAAACAACAAGCAAAACACGAAACGATTTAAAGATCCATAAAACAGATTTATCTCTACCATCGAGTGCAGCATCAGCTTCAACAGCAGCAGCATCCCATCCCATACCCTCACCACTCATCGATCACGAAGCAATTAACACTTGTAGAGCCCGGTAGCAGCTGAAAAGTGCAGACCGAAGCCGATAAAAACTGAAATAAATCCTAATTGCTGCCCCAATACATGTACACAGGTACCGAGATATAGAGAGAGAGATATAGACGCGTGTTTGTACATATGTTGATCTGTTTATGGCGGCTAATC